GGCCTTACTAACATGATTATAAGATGAGGATAACGATACCTTCTTAAATGCTCGTCAGAATTTACAAACCGATCGCGACCTCCGTTAGTCCTCGCGTGTGCGCCCGTGTGTTTGCTTGAACTTGTCGTGCTTTGTGCTATGGAAGACTTAAGATAATATGTTGGGATACTTGCTGCTGAACTTAGGACTAAAAGGCTGCATATATGCGTAAGAAGGATGGAAAATTTTCTTCCAAACTCATACTTATATACTAGGGCCGTGGTGACTTTGGGGAGTTGTAGGTTAGACGTGGCCCTTTGCTAGCTAAACACTTGCTTCCAATTTAGATATGTTGAGATGACTAATCCTCATCAATCATTCTCTTAGTTAGACACGTACACAATGTTTACTATGGATGAGAATTTGTTCCTTAACCCTTAGGAAAGGTGAAAGAAATGTGGAGCCAATTACACATTTACTTACGGCTTTAAGGAATTTGGAATAAAAATTCCATACAACTTAACCTTAGCTAATGTGATTAATTAGGAATTAATCACTTACTTATGTTTAATTATTCAATTAAACATAATGCTTAATTACCAAAATTATTCCGAACGTAAACGGTACGTCGAAAATAAATTTCGGTAATCTCGACTGAAAATAATTAATTCCAAAAATTAATATCGGGACTAAAAACATAACTTATACTGATAAACTTACGGGATGTCGCTGATTGAATAATTAATTCCAGACTCGTTAATTAATTAAACGAATCAAAATCAAATCTGGAAACTTATTCGGTTACTAAAATAAGTAAACCGAATAACTTATCGACTAATAGTCGAACATAGGATATGACTGACGGATCAATCTGAACTTGAACATGAACATGATTATTTATTAATAAAGGCTAGCTTAAAACTAAAAGCTAGTATTTTCCTTTATTAATAAAATACGGGGTGTTACAATCTTATACTTAATATGAACTTAAATTAACTAAATTTATTCAATTATGGTCGAAACTTAACTTTCGAGGATTACTTCAAATATTCTTGACTGACGGTTATCCGAATATCATATTTTGAATAATAATTTGACTTAGCTTATTAATTCTGAACACATTTATTATATAAATGAATTGGAATTAAATCTGAAAACTTATTCGATTATTAAAATAATTAAATCGAATATCTTATCGACTAATAGTCGAACTTTTAACTGAGACAGAATAATTGGCTTGAACTCAATTTTGACGATTAATCGAATATTCTCAATTCAGTTAATACGTCAACATTGGAATAACTTGCTAATGTCCCTTTATTAAATAAATGGACTGAGATTAATTACTATCATTGACTCGGTTAATAAATAAAATTAACCGTATATACTTTCGACTTAACGTCGAACTTGGAACTTAATTAGCTGAATAACTTAGACTTGAACATTAACATGAATATTTATTAACAAAGGCTAGCTTATATTTACAAGCTAGTATTTCCCTTTATTAATAAAATTCGTGGCGTTACAGTTACTACTATCGAAAATAATCCCTCTTGAGTTTTTTCTCACAACGCACACACTTTAAACACGTAGGCTTCCTCATTTATTTTCTAATCCTGTGGTTCATCTAGATGGAGAGGAATAGTGTGAAGCATAAGGGTATTACGTTTATGTGCTCTCACATTATTTTGTAGGTTGATCGACATCTCTACCTCCTCACAGCTCTGGCAGACTCATGCCTAGAGACTGGAAAGGCTGCATGCCACCTCACTGCTTTATGACTTCTCCGCTGCCACATGTCCAGCACCCACGAACCAGACCCGTTGTTCCCCTTGGGTTAAGCTAAACATTGACGGATCTTTAGACCGGCTCATCAGAGCCGCCGGTGGCGAGGTCTGATCAGGGGATCACAGTGGAGCCCTCATTACCGCCTTCCACACTCCTCTTCAGGCCTCCTCGAGCTTTGATGCAGAGATTCAGGCGCTTCAGATCGGTCTTCAGATTGTAGTCTCTATCTCTTCTCACTTTTGGATTGAGCTGGATGCTCCCACTATCGCCGCCCTCTTGACCTTGGGCCATCAGGGCACGTGGCAGATTCAACACCCGCTCATGTGCATCAGATCCACGCTTTTTTCGCTTCGCTACCAGATCCCGCACATCTTCTACGAGGGGAACTGATCCATTGACTTCCTTGCTTCCATCAGTGCCTCCACTCCTAGAGGCAGATTTTTCGCCCGGACAACGCTCTTCTCCGCCTCTGTACTCTGGTGCGGATGGATCAGATTGGCTATCCATCGTTCAAATTTGGTAGTCTTTCTGTACTTTTTGCGCATTAGCCCACTCGTGGTACAGACTTCTTGCCTAGGAACTTTTCAACCCAAATTCAGACTTTTCGCTGTGGTTGTTGTTTTTTTCTTTCTTTTGTTTTTTGTTTTTGTTTTGTTTATTGTTTGGTTGTGCAGACTTGTGGTTTTGCAGCCCACTTTTCGGGGGGTTTCTTCCAATATATATATAAATAAAAGACGAGAAAGAAAAGGAATACACAAAATTGATACGAAGTTCGATCAATATTGCCTACATCTCCGGGCACCAACCGCAATGCCAAATTCACTAAACTCACGAATAAAATATAAATAGAGTTAAATAACCCACAAATAAAAATTTTCGATAATTAATGTTTCCTTCTAAAATATGAGAGAAAAGAATAAAGATCAATTATAACTAAAATACAAGAAACCTATTTATACTAAAAGATCTTACGCATCTTTGGTACACATCTTTTGCAACCCTCCGAACTGAGACACATATTAATCAAAATTTAACACTTGCTACCTACACATCCACATGCTTAAATATAACTAATCAATATGCGTAACTATCAACAATTTGTGAAGAAGTTTGCAATTATAAATTGAACCATTATTACTCATTAAGTAAAAACATAATCATTTCATATCATATAATTTTATTTTAATTACGTATATTTTTTCATGTAATATACTAGCATTGCATTAGTGGGATTCAATAAAAAAAAAAATCATAATTTTAGTTCATTAACTTTTTACCGTAGAAAATCCCATGAAAACTATGTGCTTAACTTTTACTACATAGAAATATTTAGAAAGAACAAATGGTTAAGCTAAAGAGTAGCAGTCTCTGGCGCAAATGATGCATGGAGGCTGCTATTTGACCAACTTTCCCTTTATCAACCCAATTTTAACCTCTTATTTTTAAAAGCCTTTAATTATCCATATAAAGTGTGGAGATTCTCTATGAGAGAGCAAAAATTTCTTAGTAAACTAATTTTCTTCTTGCATGCATTGAAAGCTTCTTTGATTTCCTCATCTTTGTTCATGCTACGTCTCAACTAATTTAATATTTTATTAATATATTACGCGCCTAAAATAAAAATAGAAATTATTCGAACGATGTCTGGATTCGTAGAGACTCTTGTTGCGTCGAAAGTCCATCCTTTGACAAAGGCCGAAAAGGAGGAAGAAGAGGAAATTAGGGGAGAGCAAAAGAAGGCAAGTAAGGATGGGGCGGAAATTATAATTCGCCAAAGCAAAGGGACCAAGATGCAAGAAGACCACCATGATGAAGATGATGATGATATCAAGTTGACCAAGACCAAAAACTCGTCAAATTGGTGTCCCCTCATTGGCCCCAAAGGTCAACCACATAAAGATGTTAAGGTTTCTCTCTATTTATCAGTCAGGAAAATTCGGTGCTGCCCCTAGGGGCACAGCAATCAGCCCCTAGGACCTTTGATTTCACACACACCCATGTGGGTGTGTGTGCGACTTCGTGTAAATCAAGGGCCCTAGGGGCAGCATTGAATCATCCTTCTCAGTCTTTATGTATGTGTGTATTTGGATATTTGTTTGACTTAGATCAATTGATAAAAATATTCTTTTTAATCACATTTGAATATATATATATATATACACACACAAAATAGGGTGGAAAAAGTACACCAAAATGGAAGCAGCGGGTCCCTGAAAGATTAAACACATCAGATCTTGGAGGTATATTTATTGTTACCTTGATAGATTCATGGAAAATAATTGTAGTTTTTGATTAAATATTTATATGTATAGAATTTTTTGTCCAATAAAATATTAATAATAATGAAAGTAAAATGCTACTCCTCTTAGACGGCCTTTAACTTACTAGAACCAAAAAAAATAAAATAAAATAAAATAAAATAAAATAATTCTACCTATGAAAAAGTTATTGAACTAATATTGAAATTCTGTTATAAGGTTATGTATATAGCCAAATCAAACTAAAACTAAAGTAATATTACTTGGGATATCTTGCATGATGTGTGTTTTTTAGGAGGGAGAAACGAGGCTCGTGTTCAAATAGAGAGGCTATCGATCGTCTGCCCGGGCAGGCCCGAAATCGTATTGTCACACCCTTTCATCTCTAGTCCAAAGGCTTGCCTTTTCACGCTAAAGGAGGGAACTAAATACCGACTGAAGTTCACCTTTGTCGTCTCCAACAATGTCGTCTCGGGTCTCAAATACGAGCACACTCTGTGGAAGGCCGGCATACGAAGTATATACTTACCAAATATAACAAATTTGTGTTCTTTATATATATTATGTCATTTTATGACATTTTTTGAGTTCTTGCATCCTCAAATAATTTTCGGATAAATAACTACATACATATCGATTGCAGTTAATCGGTCTATAGTTAATCTCGGAACATTTAGTCCTCAAGAAAAGCCTCATGCAATTGAGCTGGAGGAAGAAACTCTGCCTTCTGGTATTTTGATCAGGGGATTGTACTCTGCAAGAGCTAAAGTACCTTTCAAGCTGACCTATTTATATCTATTGTTTTTGTTTTATTGAATGAAAAGATTATCTTTTACTAACCATTTTTTTTTATATAATTAATTTTTATTTTTTCAGGTAATAGATGATGAAGGAACATGCTACATGGATATTCATTACCACTTTGATATTCAAAAAAGTTGGCCCTTCAACACCTAGCAGCAGGCCTCTGTTCTTGTTTATTTTCTCCTCTCTTCTTCTTGCAGATCATTTTTCACATGACATTGTCTCTACATTGAGAATTATTAATTCTTTCTTAAAATTGATTTTGTAACAAACGAAAAACCAGTCGAGTGATCAAACTTAATTAGGAAAACCGAATAATAATAGTAACAATAACTGAATCATTATACATAGTAGAAATGCAACCGAGTATTCCTCGGAATTCAGCTGGAGAATGGTGGTGTGTCTGAATTCAACCAAGTGTGGGACATGAACGCGTGCCTCTCGCCCTTAACAGAGTCGGGCGAAGCATAGGATTCCAGTTCGGTTTTCTCTTGTGGGCTCAGCTCCACACACAGTGCTCGAATATTCTGGTTCAGGTTCTCTATCTTGGTTGTACCCGGTATAGGACACACGTCGTTTCCTTGCCCGAGAACCCAAGCTAACGCCAGCTGTGCGGGCGTGCATCCCTTTACTCGACCCATTTCACATATGAGTTCGTAGATTTTCTCGTTCTTTTCAAGATTTTCCGGCTTGAACCTCGGAAACCTCTAATTGATGTTCAATCCATTTATCAGATGTAATCATCAAAGCAATAAATGAAAACTCATCAAATGGTAGTTTAATAGATATGGTCAAAGTGAAACAACCTTTCGAAAATCAGTCTCGGACAAATTCCGAATGAAGGTGGGGCCAGCCGCGAGGAAGCCCCGGCCAAGAGGACTGTATGATACAATCCCAATGCCAAGCTCTCTGCAAGTAGGAACGATTTCATCTTCCAAATCTCTTGTCCATAAGGACCACTCGGTCTCGACGGCCGTTAACGGATGAACTGCATGAGCCCTTTTGATCGTTGAAGCCGACGCCTCAGATAGGCCCACGTGTTTTATTTTTCCTTCTTCAACAAGTCTCTTCAGCTCTCCCATCTTGCAAAAGAGTTATTATAAAAACAAAAGTTTCATCACATTGGAGCCAAAAATAATCCATCTATTTTTAGTTCTTTTTCAGATCTAATAATTTTCAGAAACAAAAATTTTAAGTTTCTTGGTTTTTTAGCTATTATAACTTAATTTATTATTTTAGTTCTTTATAATTTTATATTTTCTTGTATAATATTTAGTTTTATAGCATCAGTTGCCTTGCCTCCAAATATACTACACGCATATATAATGTCTCCAAATTAGGAGAACCTTCAAAACTACTCTAATATATATATGGCATCACTTATCGTCACATAACACGAATGATGGCGAACGCAGACAAACCGTGACTTCAATCGGAACATGAGTATCGATACGGTGAACATAATAGAGATCAATGTAATCCGTTTTGAGACGTTTCAAACTTGCTTCGCATGCTTCCCTAACATAACTCGGGTCCCCACGAACATCTAGTTTATCGCCCTTCATGCGCACACCGAACTTTGTAGCTAACTGCACTTTTTTCCTCATGCCTCCTCTTAAAGCCTTCAAAGGATTCAAATCAATAGTGTTTCAAACTTAGATGTTAATACATAGAAAAAAAAAAATAATAATAAAAAAAACAAACACAAAGTCAAGAAAATGAAAAACACAACCCTTTGATATCCATAAAAAAAGTCAAGAAAATGAAAAACACAACCCATAGATATCCATAAAAAAAAAAAACTTATAGGCTCTAGGCCATGGTCCTGAAAAATTATAGGCTCTAGGCCATTTGATCATTATATAGTGCCCATATTGGTTTTTACTAGAAAAAAAATCATAACAATTTTACATATTACAAAAAAAATAATAATTATAATAATAATGAAGATTATAAAAATTTGTAAAATTTTATTAAAGAAATTGACAAGGAATAAATCATGTTCAGTCCTTGTATAAGAAAAAAGACGATAAATTATAAACACTGTTTTAAACTCTATTTCACATTAACCATATGTTTAATTTTATTGTAATCTCGAATAGTCAACTCTTTTGTTGAAAAGTACTAATATTATTTTTAATATATATATAATAACCAAATAACAACAAATTGAAAGCCACATTTATAATGGATAACTCGATTCCCTATAATGACTATCACTTATATGATTGAATTATATGCACACAAGTAAAATTTTGCATATTACAGTAATATGTTAAAACATATTTTTATCGATCGAATGACAAAATGAGAGAACAAAATATATAAAAAAATATTTTAGTTAATTATCAACTATTATAAATTAATTTCGTCATTAAAACCGATGTTCTGAAAACCGATCCGGTCATCAAATAGGTGAAGCTTCGAACTGTTTTAATTGATATATAATTTTTATTTATTTTATTTGTATAATATATAATTATATATATTTTTATCATTATTTCTATAGTGTAAAATGACATTTCTCTATATACAAAATAGTTGTATTTATTATTTATCATTAGTTCAATATGTAAAATATATAATTGTATATATTTTTATAATTATTAAATTAAAAGGTTAAACTATTATACTTATTATGTAAGGTTTGTATTTATTTTGTAAAATTGTAAATTTATAATAATAATAATAATAATATAATATAATATAATATATCTATTTTAATTTTTATTTTTTTAAGTTGGGTTTTAGATTTTAGTTTTGAAATTTAAAAGAATTTGCATTTTTAACTTTGCATAAGGACATAAAATTAAAATTAAAAAAAAAAATGGCCCAAGACTTTGCAATTTGCAATTGCTAAAAGTATATACCAAAAAGAAAAACGCCCAAGGATTTGAAATTTAGTGGGCTTTTTGAATGGCCCACGCCACAAAGCAAGCAAAAGAATAAGGAAACAAGCAAACACTTTTTGAATGGCCCACGCCACAAAGCAAGCAAAAGAATAAGGAAACAAGCAAACAACTAGTCCGACATCGGTAATATAAAAAAGTGAGGTGAACTGTTTGAATTATTAGCTGCTGGGCCGGTGGAACCATCTACGATTTTCCGGTTTGACCAGCTTTGGAACTGCCCAAGCGGTTTTTAACCGATTTTGGTGCCTGAGCGGTTTAACTCCTCTGACTGGACCGCTGACATGTTTGGTTCCCGATCGAACCGGTCGGTCTGGTTCGATTTTCAGAACATTGATCAAAACTTCACTATATTTAGTTATGCGAGAGTGAAGGGAAAAAAATTAACTCATTTTAATAACAAATTATATTACTTTTTTTTAAAAAATTTTCTAAGAATTTGTGCCCTTAAAATTTTCGTGCCTTGGGCGGCCCCCCACTGGCAGCTTTGTCAAAAAGGTATAAGCGATTGCAAATGTTGTTAAAGATACATAGCGATTAGATAATCATAATTTTTCTTTTTAAAAAATATGCATAATTATATTATAAAATGTGGTACTATTATTACTTGTACTGTATTTCACAAACTTACTTTACCAAGGAGGATCTCGTTGGTGTGGGGCCCGTAAAAATCGGAGGTGTCGAAAAACGTAACACCCGAGTCGACAGCATGGTGGACGAGCTTGATCATATCAGGTTCGGGCTTGGGCGGGCCGTAGGTTGCTGACATCCCCACGCAGCCCAGCCCGATTTTGGAAACCTCCAAACCATCGGGCCCTAGCTGTATCCTAGGCACCATTGGACCAGTTGAACATGAGGTAACTATGGCAGCCATTTTTTTTTTTTTT